TGCAGATGGAAATGTCAATTGATCATAATTGGTCCATAAGTGGACCCCATGACACAAGTTATCCGTTTAAGACCCCAGGGATGCTTTATTAATATTTCTAATTTATGGGATCATTTGGGAAGTCATCAGGGACAACAAACCTAATAAATCGTGGGTTAAAAGGACTCCAGACAGTGCGCGGGGCCTTCCAAGCAATAGGTGGGAGCCATTGAACTTTGGAGACAATCATAGCAACTGTCACCAGGGAGACGAGCTGCAAAAGGCAGTCTGGAGTCGTCGGCAGAGAGAGCTGGAAGCAGATTATCAAGAAAGGACAGCATTTACTGCTCCAGCCAGGGCGTGCAGGGCAAGAAACCACTCTTAGCTGTGGCCTCCTTCCCACAGGCGGCACTTTACCTGCACTGCCCATGTCAGCCACCCTGCGGCTGCCCTCGTCCCATTTTACAAACCAGACAACCAAGGCTCTGGGAGATGAAGTCTCCACTCATTTGACAGTCAAGCTGGGATTCAAAGGCAGAGGCACTCACTCAGCTCTCCATGCACGCAGCTAATCGCTGATTTCTGGCCCCTGTCCAGTGCCCCCATTCCACGGAGGTGGAAACTGAGACCCAAGGATACTGCTTCCCCAAGTGAGCCAGCAGCAGACCTGGAACAAGGGCTTCTTGCTGCCAGTTCTCTCGGGCTGTGCCTGCCTGGCTCTCAGCTCCTTGCTCTGCCTTTTCCCTCCATAGCACTTACTGAGCTGCCTGTGGATGTGTGCACATGCTCACACTTGTGAGTCTGGTGTGCACCCCCAAGAGGGTGACTAAACCTGGACTCATAGGCCCTTGGCTGCATGTACATCTTGAGTGGACGGTGTTCCCAGTGGTGTCAAAATCTCTGACTTCCACTTCCAGAATTCTCCCCTTGACCACACTCCCCAACCCAACAGCGGAGAAGAGGTACCACCCACACTTACCCTTGGAGGACTTTCTCTGCACAGAGAGGGGACCCCCCCTTTCACAGTGGCATGTTCTTGACAGGGTGACAGGCTTCAGGTCTCACTAAGTCACCTTTGCACATCTCTACTTCTGCATAGCATGTGTTCATTATTAAGTCCATCACCATTAAGGGCACTTCCTCCCCCAGGCTTTTAGGGGACGTGCTCACTAGATCTCTCAATGCTAAGCTTTTGTATCCAATATTCATGTCACCAATAAAACTCCAATTTTATTCATGATGCCACTGTTCCCAGATTGAAGACTGCAGGTACTAGCCTCACTTGCAGCTAAGAGAAAAGGGGAATGAGATGATAGAGAGAGAAAACACTGGGAAGGTCCCCTTATCTTATCAGGGAGGCTGACCAAGCTGAGAAATTGGTCCTTTTCCTCTTCCATCTGGAATTCAAACTTGATGTCTGGAGCCCCAGGGGCCAACTTGGACAGTGAGGCAACCATGAAGGTAGAGCTGGTACTAATGTAGGCAGACCCTGATGACGGTGAATCTGCCAAGCTGTTCCTGACCTCATGACCCTGAGACTCCATGTACATGACAGAAAAAAATAATTTATATGTTTTCAGGTATTTATTTTAGTAGTTTGTAATGTGCACTCAGACATGCATGCGTGTTTGTTCAGCCGATCCTCTCTAAGATAGGGTGGTGGGACAGATAAGCTCTCCCCAGTCCTTGCTTTGGAGGGTCTCCCAGTGCAGGGGATTCCACAGTAAACTATGATATGATAATGGTCTCAAAAGAAAAATTGAGAAAGCTTTACTTGATATAAAGATTTTATTGAGCGAAAAACAAGCTGTTCATGCACAGGGAAATTTCAAACCCAAAACTGATAGGAAGCTCAGAGGTCTGGCGTGACAAGAAGCTTATAAAATGAAAATGAGGAAGTTGTTTAACCTTCCCAGTGACTGGTTATTACAATGGGGGTTTCCAGACAGCAGAGGATTAGGTGAGAGTGATTGAACCAACTTAGGAAGATGACAAGTTTCCTTTATGGTTAGCAGAAGCACTTACAAGGAGCTAAGTGAGTCTGGGAATGCCTCAGGGAATATCACTGGGAATATCTCAGTGAATGGCTGTAGGAACACTGGGAATTTCTGTGAGAATACCTGAGGGAACACCTGTAGGAATTTTTGAGGGAAAACCTGTGGATATTTTTGAGGGAATGTTCGTGAGAACTATGACAAAGCCGTGGGAACACCTGTGGGAAGATATTTTTCTTAAGAGAGCAGCTCTGGATCTGTGCCCACACCAAGGAATAATGTCCTAGTCTGTCAAGCTAAACCATAATCATTTTACCTTTAAAATTTGTTTCAAAAAGCAAATCTCCCAAGAAGGCCTTAGAAAGATCCTAACTCTGCACCCACAGACACCTAGTGTTAAGTAAATATCACCTCCTGGTGAGTTCCCCAAATGGCTTAATAGGAAAATGGAGCCCTGAGTGATTGAACGAGCCAATGCAATTCACAGGTTGTTGAATAAAAGCCAACTCCATGTTGAGGACATCTGCCAAAAATGACAATTGGGGACTTGGAGCCGTTCATTCTGAGCCATTTTTTTCTGACAATAATGAGGCCATTCCTGGTTTGTAACAATAAAACCATGTCATCTGCATAGAAAAGACTTTCAACTTTCTGTTTCTTGCAACAGAGGGCAATTCATTCATTCAGAGCATCCAAAAATCCTTTAGAGTCATAAAATACCAGTTAAAGAGAACAGGCACGAAAGCATGTGGCCCCATGTGCTGTGCTTGAAGTTCGGGTGCTGCTCATCAGGATGGGATTCCCCACGGTGCTGGCCCTCACCCTGTGTGAGGTGCAAGTCTGCATAAATCCCTGCGGTGGGTTGGGGATTAATACTGAGCACCTGTGGTTGAGCTCATAATTGGCTTCCCTCCACATAATTGGTTTCTCTCCACCAAGTCAAAAGCCAAAGTCTGTCATTGCTATTGAAATTCTTATATTGTTCCTGACAAATTTTTGCACAACTGGCATAAAAAGGTCACTAGCGTGGAATAAATGTACTGAAAACCCAAGGGCTTCGTCATACAAAATATCAGTCTGAGAAGCCAACGCTTGCAAGTTATAGGAGAGGAAGCTGACAGATGGTGTCATTGGAATACCGAGTGAACCCATGAGTCTCTCATTTGTGGGGCAATAAGAGGATGGGCCTTTACAAAGTGGGATAATCTATCCTTGGGGTCCATTGAGACAGGTCCACATGTGTAGAATGAAGGAGAGAAAGCAACTTGGCTACTGGACACTTGAAATGTGTCCAGTACTGAGATGAGCTGTAAGTGTAAAACCCACATCAGATTCAAACTTAGTATCACTGGGAATATCTCAGCGAATGGCTGTAGGAACACTGGTATAAGAACAGATTGCAAAATAGCTCTAAAATAATTATTTATTGATCACGGGTTGAAATGATAACATTTGGGTAGGTTGGGTGAATAAAACTCATTATTAAAATTAATACCAACTTTCTGTTGTACTTTTTTTATAGGACTACTAAAAACGTTTCAATGACTTGCCTGCTTGCACTGTGGCAGCCACCCCCAGAAGAAAGTTTGCTGATGAAGGATTGAGCGGAAACTTTACCCAAATCCATGCTATGCACTAAGACCCAGAAATACTAGGCATTGTAAACCCAATCAACTGTCTCCAGTGCTACAATCCTATTAGCCCACAATGGTGGGTCCATCTTCTGAGGGGCTCCAGCCTCCTGACCGGAAAGGGTGGGTGTAGGGTAAAGAAAATGTCAGGCTTTTCTGCCCTCCCGCCATCAGGATAGATGATGGATCCTTGCCCTGAATGCATGCCTGATGGCGGGCACCTGGAGTAGGGTGTGGGCATAGGTAGATGGGATTCAGCTGAGTTAAGACTGTGCTTTTAAGGACGGCGTCACAGGGACGCTAGTAGCAGCAGCAGCAGCAGCAGCAGAAGCAGCAGCAGGAGAAGCAGCCAGAAGCAGCCAGCACCCCTGCTTGCCATATGCCTGGTGAACCCCAAATAAAAAAACCTGCAAAACTACTGAGGACTCTGACTCCTCCTTTACCCGGTCTGCATGGGATCAGAAAACCTGCACTGTGCCCAGTTCCTGGCCTCTACAGTGGTGCAGCAGGCATTTCACTGTGCATCCACCCAACAGGTCCATCTTCCTCTCACATGGAGGAAACTGCACTTCCCACCCTGCCATCGAGTTATACAGAGATGAGCAGAAGCCGCATTAACTCTTCTTCTGCTGACTCGCTAAAATTCCCTCCACTGCTTTCTCCCCTTCCCAGGAAAACTTGGAGCTCGTGATGGGAGGATCACAGCTTGGAAAGCCCCTGGGTCCCTGAGTGGTGTCCAGCTACATTCAACTGCGACATGGCCGAGCAATAAGCCTCCCAAGATTTTGGATCTACTGGTTGGTGCAACAGAGCCCAGACCGCCCTAGCTAGATCAGATTACCCATCCCTAGATTAGACACCCTTCCCTAGAACAGACACCCTAAGTCAGATAGCCTGACACCCCACAATGGGCTCCTTAGATAAATCAGAACACTCACACTGACACCCGCCACGTCTCCCCTGCTCAGGGCCTGGGTTTCCCCGCATGCACCATATGGCTCTTCAAAGGCTCTGCTCTGGTACGTGCAAGTCCAGGAAAGCATACCTGACAGGGCTCTCCTGCGGCCGACACCTGGCGGCCCACACCCCAGCCCGGCCTCTACCTTGTACACGCCATCCGTTCTCCTGGCTGAGCAAACACATTTTACTGGGCCGGGGACACTTCCCGGCCATCCTGCTCCCACCTTTCCTTGTCTGCTCCTGCCTGGCCAGTTCCCCAGCACGGAGCCCTCCCTGGGACTCCCCCAGACCCATCCTTCAGCAACCCTCTCCTTCTGCCCCTCCCCCAACACCTACATCCCCCACCTTTAGGAGGGTGGAGAGTTTCTTCCCTTATCGGTGTTTTACTGCTTCCTCCTCCCTGGTTACATAGTAATTGGGAGCAGAACTGGCAAGAACAGGTTGATGCCTGTCAGCTCCCAGCAGACGGTTTGCTTGACAGAGAGAAGGCGTCCCTGCAGCGCTGTCTCGGGGGCAGGTAAGGGGCGTGTGAGCAGGAAAGAAGTGAAAAGGACCCTGCACGCCGGGAGCGGAGGCCCTGAGCCGGGCCCTGTGCAGAGACAAGGAGCGTGAGTTTGGGGAGCAGAGAACAGAAGCAATGCAGACCAGAGATGCCTGCAGAGCTTCGGCCCAGCTCCGTCCCAGAGAGGCGGCCTGGCGGTGACCCAGAGGCCCGCTCGGTCAGTCCCACCCTGCCGGACGGCAGACTCACAGGGGCCCGGAAGTGGTGGGCTTCTAAGAAGTCCAGTTTCTGGGAACAGCCCTCCAGCTGCGGTGTGGGCCAGGACTGAGTTGGTTCCCTGGGGCCAAGGGTGGCAGTCCAGGCTTCCAGAGGCCCAGCCAGAGCAGGAAAGGGCCACAAGCCAGAGAAAGGGCAAAGGTGGACACGCCACCTCCGGGTCACCTCCGGGGCCAGCTCCCTCTTCCTTCCAGCTCCTGCCTGCTCACCACACACTGTGACCTCGGACCCCGGCCAAAGCCAGCGATTGTGAAAGCAGCCACAAGAGAAGACCCTGCCCAGCAGGACGACCACTGACTCAGCGCCAGGGCTCCCTTGACATCAAGCCAGCCGGGGCTCTGAGCCGCTGGGCACAGGGCACAGCCCACCCAGCTCTACTGGCACCACCCTCCTCCTCGATCCCACAGGTGTGTTAACGTGGCCCATGGAAGTCTCTGTGGAGCCGAAACTAGGCTTGGCTAACCCGACATGAGGCCCCTTGTCCTGCACCGTGGCTTGTCCTCTTGACTTGCGGGAGAGGAAGGACGCTACCCTCCTTCCGCATCACCCTGGGCACGCACGAAGCCCCGGGCCCTCCTAAGAGCCACCCACAGTGTGCCCAGGCGGGCTCCACTCTCCAGGAGTATGGAAAGGAAGAACTCGGGGTGTTGTGAGGCCCCAAAGAAGAGGAGTTTGTCCTTCTCCATCGAGGAGATTTTAAAGAGGCCCCCGGAGCAGAGCGACGTGGTCAGGCCCGCAGGGGCAGCAGGAGGGCCAGGTGGAGAGGGCACCGCACCAGCAGCAGCACCAGCAGCAGGGCCGGAGGGGGCCCTGCAGGACCAGCCTCAGGGTAAGTGCCCCTCATCTCTTTTCCATCCCCTCTAGGCTCCAGGGAAGAAAAAGCTGCGCGGAGAGAGCAGAGGGAAGGACGGGGTATTCTAGACCACAGGCTCGGGGCTGGGGGCCTGAAATATCTTCCTGTTCTGCCCAAAAGTGTGGGTTTTCAGATGTAGACCCCAGAGCCGCATCACGGTGTTTTCTTCAGTATTCACAATGGGGTGGCACTGTTCTGGGGCCTGGCTGCACCTCCAATTCCACTTCAGTAGAAAGGCCTGATTATCAGGTGCTCGACAGGTGGGGAAACTCAAGAAGAGGTGACAGGGTCGCCAGGCCACACGGCCAGTAAGCACAAGACCCAAGATCAGAACTGGCCCCACGCCCCCCAACTACCGCTCAGCGCAGAGAACTCTCCTTTGCCCATAAAGTCAGCCTGCGCCGTTTCTAGGGGCTGAGTCTGGCCGGGAAGCCACCCAGCCCGTCACCCTCCCAGGCCAGAGCCCATGCCAGGCCCACAGAGACCATGGGCCTCCCTGTCCAGTCTCAGGCACTGAAGTGGACACAGGCGCCCGCTAGGAGTCAGAATCATCGCTGTCCGTGTCAGGCCCACCCTGAGCCGCTGTGTGACCTTGGGGAAATTGCCTTTCCACTCTGGCCTCAGCTTCACCCTCGGGGGAAGCTTGGAGTGAGGGAAGAGGAAAGGGAATTGGAATGTCTCAAACAGTCCAAGAGGTGAACCTGGACCACCTCACTCCAGCCTTTTAATCTCAGGAACTGCTGGGAGGGACCTGGGAGATGACATCACTTCCCACCAGACACAAGCCCCCCTCCTCCCTCGGGCGAGTCTCCCAGGCCGACAGATGGGGTTGTGTTCTGTTGCAGGAAGACTCTGGAAGGCTAAATGTCCCTGGGGGCTGGCAGGTTCCCTGCAGCTGAGTCCCCACAGGGGCAGTTCTTCCTGGGCTCTAACCCGAGTCTCTCCTGCTGCAGTTACGTAGTGTCCATGACTGTCCCCTCTTGCAGAGAGGGAGAGGGAGCAAGGGGACCGATGTCTCACAACAGGATCTGACATCTGGTCTCTCTTCCTTTCTTTCCCCTGACCTGACAAAGGCCGAAGGCAGCCAGGTAGCCCCCTATCCTCACCCCTCTAAAATGCTGGCAGGTACCATTCGTCTGTCCTGCCAGACCTAGCACACACTCCCAGGAAGTGTTGCCAATGTAGCAGGCATGACACTGGACAGTGGCTCTTGGGGCCCACTCACGGACATTTTTCCCATCAAATTGCTCAGTGTGAGCCCCCCACACACACCCACAGATGATGTGCTCCAGCAGAGAACAGATCACCGGCAAAAATCCCAGAAATAGTTAAGCACTAGTTAAGCAATAGTTAAGCACCAGCAGCCTGAGACCATCCACTTCAGATTATTCCTGGACATAGTTTAAATCCACACATCTCCCACTTTGCTAGGATTTAGCATTTCGAAAGGGCTAGCAAAGGTCCCACGGGTGGTTTTCAAGATGCCTTTGAGGAATATGCAGACAAAGATTATTTATGTCAATAGCTCTGTAATTATTTCTACGCTAAGTGTTCTGCTTAGGACTCATGTGACTAGTTATCTATTTATAGTCCTGATGTGAGGTTTTCTTTTAAAATTATTTAAGTAAAACAAAAAAAGTGTTAATTTGGGAAAATGTTGAGCAAATAATAATCCAGGTGGGACTCCAATATGTCAGAAACTGCAAAGGTAACTTGCAGAAATTGCAACAAGCTGGAGTCTGTGAGACTGGGCATGGAAGGCAAGAAGCTGGGGTTCAAGAAACCTGGCTCAAAGTCCCAATCTGTCACCACGCGCAAGGGCCATCAGGCAAGACATTTTCCTCTCTGGGCCTCAGTTTCCCTACCTGTACCATGAAAGAGCAGAGCTAGAACATTCTTTAGGTCCTACCCGGCTCTGATGAATGTCACCCATTCATCAACGAGTTTCCCCAGCAGAAGCTTCCCCCTCTGCAGAGGAGGGGTCTCTACACCAAACAGGTGGGAGCAGAGTGGCTGGGAGGTACAGACAGGGAGCACCAGTCTCTGCCCCTCGCGCCTCATGGAGCCCCCGTCCAGAGCTCGTCACTGCGACTGCTACTGTCCACCCCCTCCGTCCTGTCTTGCTACCTCCATGCAGGAGCCCTCAGGGAAAGGAAGGCAGCAGGATGAGAGATGGCACATCCAGGGACCACCCCCTCCGCCCCGCCCCAATAATAACAACAGAGGGAAAAGTCCTCTTGTCTCTACTTACTAGTTAAAGGGCTTCGTGTTGGGGTTATGGGGGACATGACTGGCAAGCATCACCTTAAAATCCCAATCCCCTAAGGAGCTTGTGAAAATGATCCTTCCAGGCCTGGTTTCCAATACTCTGACTCTAGGGTGGGCCCCAGGAATCTGCATTCTAGCAAGCTCTCCCCACACCTTTCTGGTGCAGGTGATCCGAGGGCCACTCTTGGAGGAACTGAGGCACAGGGAGGCAAAGTAGCTTGTTCTGAGCTAGAGCCAGTGCGTGCAAGAGGTGGCACCAGGCCAACTCTCCAGGCCCCAGGCCCGTGATTGGTCTCCCTGGTCTCTCAGGGCAAAGACCAATGTTCCCTCCAGTCCTCCCACTTTCTTAGGGACCCCACAATCTCAGACTTGGACCTCTCTTATCTCAAGCCAATGGAAAAATCTCAGAGGGCCTCCCTATCTGAACAGATGCTGAACCCAACCGCCCCTTGAAGTCTGGGGACCCTTCAAAGTCAAGGACACCTAGACAGGAGGAGCCCATTTTGTCCTAGAGGCTCAGACACTGGGAAGAGAACAATCAGGCTGCACAGTCCCGTGGATGCTCTGCCGGGAGGCTGAGATGCCTGGGAGGAGGAAGAGGGAGATGCAGGGAAGAGGCCACCCTAGAGGGTATGGGGACTGTGGGGAACCCAGATACCATCCCTGTCCGTTCAAGAGTCATCCAATCACTCACTGAATGACTGCTGAGTGCTGACACTGAACCAGGCTGACTGATGGTTGGGGAGTGAAGGTGAATAGAACCACAGTGCCCTCTACCTGGAGGCAGGGGTCAGCAAGGGTGAGGGTCCTGGAGCCACCACACTGGGACAGTGCTGACCTTTGCCCATCGAGGACTATCCACTGGCAGTGGTCACCTAAGTTTCCCTGCACAGGGTCACATGGTTCTTTTTAAGCAGAGATGTCAAACGGTCTCTTGCATTTACTCGGTTCTGCCATCACAGCTGAAAAGTAGGCAATGTGTAATGGATGGGTTTGTTTATGTTCCAATAAAACTTTATTTACAGTAACATGCAGAGGGCCAGTCATATCCTGGGGCTGGAGTTCCTGCTTGCTAAGCCCCCTACTTTCAGAATAAAGCCCATTTTCAGAGACTTGCCCCAGTGCAGCAGAACTCCCCACCCTTGGGGGCCTTTAGCTGAGCAGCCAGGGCCAATTAGCAGAAGGCAGAGAAGGAGCAATCAGGGGAGGGAGCCGAGCGCAGAGAAACATCGGTTTATAATTAGGTGGCCTAATCACCTGTGTAAATTGTGTATTTCTTATGATCGATGTGCTAAACGGCTCAGGTTTAATTAAGTTCTGCTGACTCGTTCCCTTTGAAGACCCACTGAAGTGTGATTCGCAGCTCGCCCCATTAATAATGGGAAGAGGAACGACTTGAGAGGGATGGCAGTTCCCACCGCCCTCCTCCACCCTCTTCCCCCACCCCTGCCTGCCCACTCCTAGTGCCCTTGGCCCCATACAGTGGTGACCACCCCTCCCTCTTGGCTTGCAGTGGAGACCCTGGTCAGGAGATGCTGGGCCTGGGCAGGAACACAGGGATTTTCTTCTTTCAATCCAGCGTTCCTGCCCAGCTCAGAAAATAGGGCCCCTTGGGCCTCTCTGAGCAAAAGCCCAGAACACCCCAGACCTTCCTGATTATTAACACTCATCCCATTTCTGGGGCCGCCCATCCATGAGTTTGCATCTTCCGCTCCCTGTTTGATGAGGTCCTTTCTGGCTCCAAAATTTTACGTGCAGAGGCCTGTGTTCTACCTTCTCTGCTCCATATTCCACTTCTGTCATTCTCTTTCATAACCCGCTGTGGTCTGGAACCAGCCTTCCCAGACCCTCTCACCCGAGAGTTAATCCATCAGCGTGCCCTGGAAGCTTCCCTCCAAATTATATCCCAAGGTCAGTTCTGCCTTCTCACTGCAAACAACTTCACCAGCATGAAAAGAGCAGATGGCTCAAGACTCATATCCCATATCTGCCACCATTAGAGATTCTCCTTCCTTGTTCCAGAACGAAAAATTCTAGGGATGGGCCAACAGGTCCAGTACAGATCAGGTGCTCTCCCACCCCCAGACCAATCCATTATACCTTCCCGGTTGGACTGTGGACAGCACAGGGTCCAAAAGAGGGGGTGCTGGCCCCAGAGAAGCTGGTGCTGGCAGACACACCCATAGGTGTCCACCTCTATGTTAGCAGGGACACCATGTCCTCTAAGTTGTGCTCAAGCCTGGTCATGTCCCCACATCACCGAAGATTAGAAACTTCCAGACAGGGACCTTGTCTCTTTGACCCTGTACTGGACCTGGCACCAAATGCATGTCCAGTAAGTAGGGAGAGGAATGGGACATTGGTGCTGACAAACGAAAGAAGACACTCAGGGACAAGAAAGACCGCCCAGAGCTAGGAAGGTTAGGAAAGAATGCTTGGAGATGCTAAGAGTGGACTTAGATCATGAAGACCCAGTAAATCACATAAATCAGAATCACAGACAAAAGACAGCACGAGACCCCACCCTGCGGGCTTGGGGGCAGCAGGGCTACCAAGAGCATCGTCTCAGGCATGTACACCTGGTGCTCAGGGGAGGGCAACTCTGGGCCCCTGGGCAGACTCCCACTCACCCTGCGTGTATCCCTGTGCAACAGGGAACAACCTCAGATAGCAAATAAATAAACTTCTGACAGGTCCAGAGAACAGCATTTTCACTTTAGCCAGTGCTGGGTCTGAGGTTGGACAGGTGAGCTGGAAACAAGTTGTAAGGAGAGACTGCTGTCAACTGCAGTCTTGAGCAAACTGTTTCTGTGAAGGGCCAGGCGGCAATTATTTTAGGCTTTACAGGCCAGTGGTCTCTGTTCGAACTATCCAACTCTGCCATTACAATGCTAACATAGCCTTAGACCACACAAAACCAGTGGGCGTGACTGTATGCCAATAAAACTTTATTTACAAAACCAGACCGGGGCCAGATGCAGCCATAGACTGTGGTTTGGTGGCTCCTCTTATAGACAAGGGCAGAGCAGCTGAAAGGACAATTGGAGGACTTCTAGAAGGTCATCTTGGCCTCACTGTGGGGGGTTGGGAGAGGTTCAGCCTAGAGGCAGTGTTTCTAGGAAGAGAATATTGTGAAACCACCAGAATAAGGAGCCAGGGGACCCCAGACTTGATCGAGACAGCAGGTGCTAAAAGGGGGGAGCAAGGCAACACCGAGCCTCACTGAGGCGCCAAACCATGGTCACTGACCCAGCTCAGACCCTTTTCTGTGCAGAGGAGAGGAAGAGCAAGCGGAGGGTTCGCACCACCTTCACCACCGAGCAGCTGCAGGAGCTGGAGAAGACCTTCCACTTCACCCACTACCCGGACATGCACATCCGCGCCCAGCTGGCAGCCAGGATCAACCTCCCGGAGGCCCGGGTGCAGGTACAGCTGTCCCTACCGCCACTCCTCGCTCAAGGCCCTCAGCCTTTGGGCGAGACCCAGGGGATCCCAAACCTTCAGGCACACACCAGCTGAAACCCTCGCGGGCTTGTCCCATGAGTACAACGGTATTTGTCAAACACCGTTTTCCAGGAGGTGATAGTTACAAGATGCTTCTTCTTGGGGGGAGAGGTGCGTGGAGGGGGCCAGGACAATGGCCATCGATATTGGCCCCCATGCCCATCCTCTGCCCTTGGTGACTTTTCCAGGGTGTCAGTCACGTGACAATCTAGAGCAGGGACAGCAAACATTCTCTGTAAAGGACTAGATGGAAATTATAAGACTTTGTGGGGCCTCGTGGTCACCCACTGCTCAGCTCTGCTGCTGAGGCACAAAAGCAGCCATGGGCACTAGGTGGACACTAGATGGACACGACACTAGGTGGACATGCATGGCGCTGTCCCAGTGAGACCCGGATGGATACTGAAATTTGATTTTTGTACCATTGGCATGTGTCACAAAACATTATTCTTTTGTTGTTTTTTATTTCCCCAACCATTTAAAACTGTGAGAACCATCCTTAGCTCTTGGGTCACACAAACGCAAGTGGGAATTCCAGTGTAGCCCTTGCTCTATGGTCTACACCACATGGGGATCTACACCATGTGGGGATCACTTTGGAGACAGCATAGGGGGTGGGAAGGACCCTGGATCCACCATGATCAGAGGCCTGTTGAAGCACCAGTTGCCTAATCTGTGTCCTGTCATCTCTTCCTCCGGGGGGCTTCCTCCAGCCCCTAGTCACTCGCCAGGGGTGTGTCCTGTGCACCCCAGTTTTGTGAGACCCAGTCTATGTGATTGACATTTTCTCCCAAACAGTTTCCTAAGTCACTTTTTAATTTTAACAAATGTGATGGACTCGTTCAAAATCGAAATCTGCGCTGGACCAACACTCCACTCTATTTTTTCCCAATTTACTTTTCTGCTGGCTAAGGACTCCCCCTGTCTCGGATTTGTCCCCCTTTTCTTTCCATGGGGAATCATCTCCCAGCTAAATGGGCAGCACCTGTGTCTGCCGTAAAGCCCAAAGTTCAGCTTTACAACCAAGACAAACAGCCTTGTGTCAGGGACAATCAGGAGCTCGTGAATACAGGGAGCTGGCAAATTCCAAGCTGTGGATGCCAAGGGGCCCCCAGGGCTCGCAAACAGATGACCTGCCGGCGGGAAACAGCCCACAGACGGGTTGTATTGGGTCTGCACAGTATTTTAAAACAGGAAGCTTTCACGTAGAAGTCAAGGTTTCTGCCTTAGAAGTTGTCCAAGCCTGTGACGCTGGACTCATATTCCCACGTAGTGACTGTCAGCTGAAGCCAAAAATCTGCTTCTCTGCAGACCCCACCACTCCCCATTGTCTGGTACCAACTATCTGCTTCTCTGCAGACCCCACCACTCCCCATTGTCTGGTACCAACTATCTGCTTCTCTGCAGACCCCACCACTCCCCACTGTCTGGTACCAACTATCTGCTTCTCTGCAGACCCCACCACTCCCCATTGTCTGGTACCAACTATCTGCTTCTCTGCAGACCCCACCACTCCCCATTGTCTGGTACCAACTATCTGCTTCTCTGCAGACCCCACCACTCCCCACTGTCTGGTACCAACTATCTGCTTCTCTGCAGACCCCACCACTCCCCACTGTCTGGTACCAACTATCTGCTTCTCTGCAGACCCCACCACTCCCCATTGTCTGGTACTCCTGCATGAGCCCCTGCCCCCCACGCTGAAAGTGCTGGTCTCTGGTTCTGTCCAGATCCACAGAAATCCTAGCAAAGGGCTAGTCCCCCAGGAGACCTTGTTAATGTGTGTTGAGGGGAGGTTCTAGATGGAGAAAACCCTTTGGCTAATCTCCATCCCTTCTCTCCCTCATCCCAGATCTGGTTCCAGAATCAACGGGCCAAGTGGCGGAAGCAGGAGAGGACTGGCAGCCTCGGGGCCTCGCAGCAGCTGAGCGAGGCCGATGTGGTCCTGGCCGCAGATCTGGACATGACCGTGAGTGGCTGAGACTGCAGGGTTGGGGGGAGCCACTGTGGGTGCCTCCCGTCCAGACCCAGATGTGAGGAAGGGCCCCAGGGACTCTGTCTACGGTGAAAGGGCAAGTGGGGGGCTCTTCCAAAGAGGATGTGGCAGAGACCCTGGAAAGTCTGTGGGACCAGGGACGAGTCCCTGCTGCTCTGTGCCCTGTGTCCTCAGCTCGAATGACAGTCACCATGCTTGCACAAAATTGCACAGTTCACAGAAGAGGGTCATGGAGGTGAAGCAAATGGGCTCCTGAGTCAGGCTGCCCAGGTTGGAATCCCAGGTCTGCCCTTAGCCGCAGTGCAGTCTCGAAGAATCTCTGTGCCCATCCCAGGACAGCAATAGGGTTCTGACGAGGACGAAATGGCTGAGACTTCTTGGCACATAGGATTCTCCCTCAGTATGCTCTGTCCACCGAGTCCATACTATTTGAGTAGGTGCAGATGCTGAATGCTGGGGAGAACAGTCCGGACAATTGTATGGGTGAGGTGATGATTCGAGGCAGGGTTCTTTCATGTGTGCAGAGACTGGGCTCTGAGGAGCAAAGTGACTTCTCCATGTCAAAGAATGCCCAATGAGGACTGGTCCCCAGGGCATGCATTTCTCCCCAAGCTGAGCTGCCCAAGTTTGGGGCGAAAGTCTAAAAGCTGCAGGACAGCCCCAGGTAAAGCTTGGGACTCACTTCTCTCTCCCCACCTCCCCTGTGACAGGGCCCCTTGCTGCCACCCCCTGCGCTCTCCAGGTCGGCTCCTCCCACCGAGTGTTATCCACTGACCCAAGGTCAGCTGGCCTCCGCCTGGTTCCCTGCCCAGATCACCCTCCTTCCGTGGCACCCTTGGGAGATAGCACCTCTTCCGGGCCCTCTCATCCAGCAGGCCTGTGCCCCCACGCTCTGCATCTTTGCTCCTCCACACCCCAGATGGAGCAGCATCTGTGCCACTTCAACATAGAGGGTGCACAGCCTTTCCCCAAAGGAGCTGCTCTCCTCTCAGCTGGAGGCAGGTGGCAGGAAGTCGATCTCATCCTCCAAGATGCCCACAACCTCAGGAGGCCATTCTCTGCACATCCTTGGAAGCCCTCGTGGGACTCAGCAGCAAGGCAAATACTAGCGGACCTCCTGCTCTTCTGCGGACACCTCCTGGGTGGACAGCAGAGGCCGTGGGAGAGCTCAGGATGAGCCCCAAGACCAGGATAACCCTGATCCTCCTCTGACTAGCTGTGTAACCTCCAGCCTGTCCCTCACCCCCTCTGGACCTCATGTGAGCCACAAGGCAGTAGGACAAGAAGACTTCCTAGGACCTTCTGGCCTTTGTTTGGGGGAGGTGAGTCGTGATAAGGACATAAAAAAGGCCAAAGAGAAGTTGTTGTTCATTCACTCACAACACGCGTATTCGGTGCCTGCTGAATGCTTCTAAACAGAACTGGACATAGAATCACACATCTAACGCTCTGCCCCAAGCAGCTCGCTCAACCCAAGCTGGTCAAAGAGATATCACTGGCCTTCCCCTGCGAGCAGAACCTTTGCTCAATGACCTTGCACTTGACCATGTCTAACACTGTCTGTGTGGCTCTGATGTGAAGTCCTCCAGTAGGAGAAAAATACACAGGGGGATAAATGCTTTTAATTTAACCAGGATTCAGTGTCTTGGATTATTCTGCTGGACTGGGGGTGGGGGAGCCCAGGGCAGGCAGCAGGATCTTGTTGCAGACGCTCATGGCCACCCCTCAGGCCTGGCGACGTGGTGAGAAGGTCACAGGTAAGACGGCAGATGCCCAGGCCTCCACTCTGCTCCGGTCCCCTACGCTAGTCAAGGTCCCCGAGAGAAACAGACGCAATAGGAGAGAGAAGAGCGGTAGACAAAGACATTGCTGTGGAGAAACTGGGGGGCAGAAAGAGGGAGAAATGATGATTAATGATAAGGAATTGGTGGGCGTGGTTATGGAGGCCGAGACGTGCCAGGACTGGCGGTCAGCAGACTGGAGCCCCAGGAGAGCAGACAGACTGGGCGATATAGTCTGAAGCCAGAGGCAGGAGGAGACCGCCCCAGCTCAAACACTGGCAGGCAGAGACAAGGATTCTCCTCTTCCTCCCACAGACTGGGAGAGTCCCCCCACACAGTAGGGCAACCTGCTTTACTTAGTCCACCCACTCAAAGATTAATCTAATCCAGAAACAGCCTCACAGACGCACCCAGAATAATGTTAGCCAAATATCTGGGCATCCCATGGTCCAGCCAAGTTGACACAGCCCATTAACCATCACAGTCCCATGCCCTTCCCCAGTCACTTACCTCCTTGCCCCAGAACCCTCTAGAAATAAGAATTGATCAACCATCAAGGTCAAGGTCACCAGAATGTCTCAACTTCAATACGGAGGTGAAAGCTCCATACCTCCCTAGCCCCCCCCCAGGGGGGCTAGGAAGGAGCAGAGGACGAGACCTTCTTAGGATTTTTTATTTTTCCCTTGAACTATTTTATTCCCTTTACCTTTTAACTATGGGACAAAGGAATCACTTTAGAACTTTTACCAATTATGTGACCTTGGCGAGTGACTTGTCCCCTCTGTGTGCCTGCTCCCTGAGAAGCATTGGCTTCTCACTGAGTTTCTGGGGCAATTCAATGAGCTGATGCATTTGGACACATGGTAAGGACTCAACAAACGTTAAGAAAAAAGTCACTTTCCCAGCTCTCCCTTCTACATCTTTCTGCTCCTGATCCTGAACAGCTGAACTGCTCCAGACTATCCTGGGAGCTCTTCCACTACTCCTTCTTCAAGAGGACCAAGGACCTCCCATGAGCATGCAAGAATGTGTGTTTATTTTTCGCCTTCCTTGACAGACATACCTGAACCAGATCCTGACAGGTTCATGGTCAAGCAGTGCAGGCTCAAGCCTTCAGCGAAGCCAAAGGATAATTTTTTAAGAAAAAATCATACAAATGTAAAATGAAGGCGTGCGGAGCTGTTATTTAACTCACTAATTAATGAGGGAACCAGTAAGACATCCTAGTCATTCTAAGGCGAATTCGAAGAACAGACACATGGATGGGCAATCAAGAAGGTGTCTGAATTACAAATACAAAGAAGGTCAGTTGCCATAGGGAGATAATCAATTGCATCTCCACCAGACACAGATTATTTGCATTTCTATGGACAAGAATTATCTGCATTGCTACCAGTTTTCTCCTATTTAAAGAGTTGAAAAATTGGTCCAAGATGAGGAAAGGTGTAGCTGTCCTAGCTCAGTGGGCCAGACACAACACCCAGGAGTGTTCACGCCCATTCCACTCTCCCCTGACCTGCAGTCATGTCATCTCTCTGAATCTCGAGTTCCTCATCCATTAAATGAGCATAACACGATGTGCCTTGAAAACAAGTGGGGGTCACACTAGATGATGCAGGTTAAGTGTGCGGTCCTAGGAAGATGCTTTATGAATTTAGGGAATTATTATTTATGCCTTTCAAACCCCTTTAGAATGCAAACTAAAATGTCAATGTCTAGAAAGTGTTTAGAAATGCAGTAATCTTTCTTTCGTATCCATTGACATTTTATCGTTCAATTTTTCTAAAAAGCTGCAGGCCATAGAAAATGGACAAAAAGCAGAAATAAGAGATTCACAGGGCAAACACAAATGGCTACTAAACATGTTGTTACTGTGCAAACTGAGGGGCACCTGGGGGCCCCCAAACGTGCCATCCACTGCATAAAGACAAAGCATTCTCGTAGTATGGGGGAAAAAAAAAAACTTTAATAAGATTAGTGCGCATAAAGACAGAAGGGAAGAAAGGGTAACAGTTTCCCAAGGAAACATTCAAAGTTACCCATCCCCTAGTGGGTAAATGCCCAGCCAACAGGGTTGGTGGCAAGGCTACTGAGACCGGAAAACTTGGCACAAATCTAAGGCACCTCCTGGCAGCAAACCACAGGAAGGGGCAGAAGGGGGCAGAGAAGTCTGAGCAAAATCAAAGTACAAATCAAGGTAACAGCTTCTGCTGTCAGCCTCCCCGCTCCAGGTGTCTCCTTCCGTGTCCCCCAAGTCCCTGGTGCAAGGGCAAAGCCAAGAAACAAGTGCATCCTCTTCACACGTCTACTCCACATGTCTCCTCCAGGTCTTCCGAGATCCCATCTCACCTCCCCAGGTTGGGCAGGAACATGGTCCCTCCTCTTTTATGGAGATGACACTGTTACCACATGAAAATATTCTAAACCTCCTGCATAATTTAAAAATGCAAATAAAACAGCAGTGAGATACATTTTCTTACCTTTCAGTTGGTAAACATTTGAAAGTGTTGGGGGGCGGGTGATGAAATAGTCACACTCATCAATAAGGAAGTAGAAATTAGTACATCACTTAGGAAGCTAACTCAACAATTATTAATTCTAAAAACAAATTTCTTTGACCCAGTAATTGTATTCACAACACTTGCTGTGATACGCACACACATAAAAACTGTCAGCGCATCCATGAGGTTTGTGGCAGCAGATACAGGAGACCCCCTGAATCACAACCGTTCAAGACAATGATCTCCAGCTGGTAACAATAAGGAGAGGCTGAACTGTACCCCGTGGGAAGATGTTACTAGGTGCATCCTTGAATGGAAAAAGCAGATTAAAGAACACTATTGTGATCTCATTTGAGCAAGAAAAGGATAAAAATATCCTTATGTAGGAAAAAGCTATCTATATGCTGATAGCTTCTGCATCTGCTAGCTTTGGCTCCATAACTAACGCTCCAAAACTTAGCAGCTGAGTCTCCAGCTGACTTCCCCTGGCTTGGCCAGAGGGCTAGGCCAGCCTGGTTGACATGGCTAATCTGGTCCACATGGTCGTGGACCCGTGGGTGAGCCCAGACGGCCTCACTCAGGCCTGGGCTTGGCAGGCTGTTCGCTGGGGTGAAAGGGTAACTGGACAAATTGTCTCATTTGGGGTCACAGGGTTCCCAGAGCCCACAAGGGCAGAGGCCCAGGGCTCTGGGGCTGGGCTCCGAAGGCACAGTCAGGTCTGCTACATTCTCTTGGCCCAAACAAGCCACCACCAGTCCAGATTCAAGGGGTGGGAGGAGAGAGTCCTCCTCTTGCCAGGAGAGCTAGAAAGTGTGTAAGCACATTTCCAATGGACCACAGCTCCCAGGCACGAGTCTCACCCACACCTCGCCCTTGAACTCTCTCAACAGCTCTGCGTGAAAGTCCAAGAGGTATCTCATCTCACGCTCCACGTACTTAACACCCAACTGCATTTACCACTCGCTCCCAACCCTCTTCTTCTCACTCAGCTTTCCCCTCCTCAAGGCCTTTCTTCAAGTTGCTCAGGCTACAACCCTCGATGACTATCTCCTCTGATGGAACAGCAAGGCTAGCATTCAAAGCCCTGAGGCCAGCCTCCCCGTCTCCCTGTGTTCATCCCTCTTGCCCGGGCAGTGAGAGATGCCAGGAAGACGTGAGGCAGGGCAGGACTCTCAAGAAATTCCCCTTCTTCTCTGTCTCACTGGAGTAAAGTCCAAGTCCGTCCGATGGCCAACATGGAAGGTCCCGGCTCCTCCTCTTCCCCCAGTGCTTCCTGTACCAGCCACAGTGGCCTCCTACCAGCTGATGCCCCGAGGTGCCAAGGACAATCCTGCCCCAGGACTTGCACATATCGTTTGCTTTGCCTGAAAGAGCCATCAGCTCTTTGTCTGGCTCCCTCCCTCACTTGTGCCCAACCTCCTCTCAAATCGCACCCACAGCGCCCCTCCCCGACCTGGACTATCCTATCTGAACAAGATACACATACACACTCTGCCTCTCTAGCCCCATACCCCCATTTTACTATTTATTTTTTAGCTCTAACCAACACCTGAAAGTTATCAATTGCCTGTCTCCCAACACTAGAATGAAACTCCATGAGGCCAGGAGCCTTACCTGAGTGTACACTGCTGTGTCCTCAGTAGCCAAGTCAGGGCCTAGCACACAACATTTGTTAACAAGCACATGCACACAGCTATGTATGCCTAGAAAGTCCCTGGACAGAGACACAGAAAGCCTGTCAGCAATTACTTCCAGAGAGTGGGCTGGTGGTACCAGCTCATGGAGAGAGAAGTGTTTCTTTCCCCTGATGCCCTGCAGTGTTTGAATTCCTGCCCTACGTTATAAATTAAAATGTTAATCAATAACGAAACGATGAATGTTTTCTCTCATTTCTCGTGTGCTCTGCAATCTTACATCCTGCTATCTAAGAACATGTTTTTCTGCGTCTTCTGGTACTGGGGCGCTCCCCTCTGGAGATGGGGTCACCAGGTAGCGCTGCTGAACTCACAGGAAGGAGAATAGAGTCTGGAAAGCATGGTCCTGGGGCAGAGAGGGCAGGGCAAGTGGACAGAGCTCTGGGAATTAGAGCAAGGAGGGCAAATTCAATCACAGAGAAAAGCAATGAGTCGAGCAGGCGGGCCCAGAGGGCAGGAGCTGCCCAGGCTCAGCCCCCAGATAGAGGGTGGATTTTTAAAGTCATCTCAGGGGGATAAACGCAGAGGATGGTCAGGTGAAAACTCTTTTATCATAATTAGGCCCGAAAGTTGATTTGATGCCTCTGAGCCTAGCAAGAGGGCAGGGCCACATATAAACAGCAGCTCTTCATCAAATCCTCTGCAGAATTT